TCTTAATATCTCTGGAATAGGCATCAAGGCTGAATCTAAAGTTGTACTCCAGACTGCCCTTCCAAACGTGGGCCCCAGATGCCCACATAACCAAGTCAGTGCTAACCAGCACAGTAATCTTATGCTCTTGCTTTCATTTTTAAATAAACCTTTGAGTAACTTTTATACCCAAACAGAGAAGCCAGCATGAAAGAGTCCACTCCAAAGAGCCTTCTCATCCTAGATCTAAGAGATTGAAGTTGACTTGGCACTGAAATAACAGTTCTGAGAGAACTTGGGAGTGACTTGGGTTATGTTTTCTGTTCTGTTTATTTCATGCTATATGAGCTAAGGTAGTGGTAACTGCTGTAACAAATAGACCCGAGTGTCTCAAGCATAATAGCAACTTTTCATCCTATATCTTTATTCAACATTTTTATGGACAAATGAAACCTGTGTTTGGGACTCTGAAGGAAACAAGGCTAGGGAGCCCAGAGAGGTCAAATGGAACCATATCATGGTTCAAGTGTGAGCCAAAGAGTGCAGCATGATTACCATAGGGGAAGACAGTTTGCAAAGACAGAAACAAGATGCAGCCCAGCTCAGAAAAAGAGCAAAAATTAAGGTTAACAGTAATAAAATGTGACCTTCTCTGTGCATGGCTCTTTCCAACTGACAAAGGACGTTCACATGCATTATCTTATTGTAGGACTCACGAGGTGATTCAGGAAACATTCGTGCCCTAATTTCAGATATATAGGAAATCTCAACTACGTCTGAGAGGCTAAATGATTTACCCTGCTGAATGGCAAGCCAAGGTGTAGGCTTGGATGTCCTGTCTCTGAGAACAGAGCCTTCCCCCATAGCTTTGTGGTGTTCTTGGAGGTTCAAGGCACTGGCAAGGCAAGAAGGCTGCAGAGGTGACCAAATCTTTCTTCCATTCCCTACCCCACCTCCCATACTCTGGAAGCATCCTCCTAATGCCAGCCATGTTCCCATGGCAATCACTTACCAATGGTGCCTGTTCAGACAACAAATAACTGCAGCCTGGTAGGATGCTTGCTTTTGTAAAACCTGCTCTCTGCCTTTAAGGAGGTCACAGTTTAACAACTGGTCTTTTTATCTTCACAATTGTCTAATCAGACCTTCATTTATTTAGCCACTCCCTCCTTTTTTACCATCTCCCTCTTAGCCACCTTTCCCCACTCTTTCCTCTGTGTACAGCTGAATTTGACCAGTGTCAAATCATGTTTTATTCTCAGCCTGAGAAAGACAAGCCTAACCAACGAAGAACCTATCCTACTGGTGCACTGTGAAGTTTCTAGTTTACACAGACATCTTCCCCTCCCCGCATTGTATTTTAGTCTGGAGAAATCCTAGAAAGCAGAATTCTTGGGGGGACTAGGAAGCTACTTTCCCACAAAACAGTGACATAGATAAGAAAGCATTTGAATGGTGCTTGAAATTTTGCAGAAAAACCAGTGGGAGACCACAGCCAGGCTGCAAACTGGCAGTTCAGCTCTTCCTAACATCCCCGGCAACAGCCTGCTGTTTTCCCAGGTGGCTCTGAACAAGACAGGGAAATGCTGTGGCCATTTGTCACTGTCCCAGCAGCAACATGTGCATGCCAATTGGTGCATGCAGCCTGGAGGCCCACTCCTGCCCCATGACTCCATCTACACCCCTTGGCTTCCTCTCTCTGAGACTGGGGAAATGTGTTCCCTTCTCTCCTCCTCCACCTGAGTGAATGATGAGATCCGCCCTTCCAGGGCTGGAATCAATTCAGCCCTCCCCACCATGTTCAGAGATGCCTGTGCTCCATGTAATCGCTTCCATCCCATTTTCAATTCAAGACTTAGTCTTTGGGGAGTATTAGAACGCATCATGGAGATGGCAGCATTGTATCTCAAGGTTGTTCTCTTGTGCGGGTCAGTAGGTATGCTGGTGTGTCTGCAATGAGTGCTACAATGAGTCAGTCAGATCCTAAGTTGGGTGCAGAGTTGTGTAGAGATAGCTCAAGAGAAAAAGCCAGTGCCTGTTTATAGGAAAAGCAGAGTAAAGGTACCCTTTGTTCCTTTATGCTCAGCTCTCTGCTCACACCCATTGTGAATGGAATTAACTTTTCAGATGGCCAATAATATCCCTTTTTGCCTTTGAGGAAGAAAAAAGTAAGATGAAGAATATAATTTGCAAATGAAATTTGCAATGATACAGGTATAAAATAGGGTTAAAGGAAACTCTACTTCTAGAATTGCCTGAGGGGCATTTTACTGCATATTTAGGTTATACTCTTAGAATTACTTCCTTTGAAGAGGACTTAATCTAGATTATAAGTTTATGAATTCGGGGACATTATGTGCCTGAGTAGACAGTCCTTTTGCTAAGGGCAGCCTAACCATTGACACCGCTGCTTTCATCTTTATACTCTGTGTACCCTTTCCTGCCTCCTTTCAGTTCCATCAAGTATAGGGAGGGAGCATTTGGCCTTCTGAGTTGGAGTTATGCATAACCCGAAAATAGACTCTCAGAGTGCACCCAGACATAATGATTCCATGCTGCAAGAAGGTCACTGTGTCTGCCTTTCCTGCCAAGACACCCCTAGCTCTTAATCTATGGCTGCCTTGTGAAGCAAGAGAGCTGTGCCAGGAAGTTACACTTTGTGACTGTGAGGCATTATGAGAATTTGAAATCATGTCAATGAGGTTTTTATAAAGGCAGGCCAGGGGAGGGGGGACTAGACAATTTTAGAAGACAGTCTTTGAACATCCTTTTGCTCTGTGGCTTGAGATTTACCATAGCTCGGCTTTTTAAAAAAAAAAAAAATTACCCAATCCTAACTAGAATTCAACCTCATCCTCTCAACCCTACCCAAAAATAAAAAGACATTCACCAAAAGTTTACAGTGGTGACACTATGAGTAAGGTTTATTGGTTTCTCTGTGCTTTTCTGCACTTTTTATAACAAGTGTTCTTGCTCTAGATTGTAAAATAAAAATAATTCAACAGATCTTATATAAAAAGCAAAACTCTGTTAGTTAACTGCATTCCTGAATGCTCCGTAGCTGCTATCACCAGCTTTGTGACTGGGCCATAGAGGGAGCTTTCCTACCTCTGCACTTATGTCAGGTCTCAGACCAGGACTGTTATCTGCAGTTCTCTCCCCACTGCCAGTTTCCAAAGCACTCCCAAGAGAGGCGAAACCCTAGATCCTGATAGGACTTGAGCAGCCAAGGAGGACAGGAAAGAGAGCCCCTGGAGTGCAGCCAGCCAGACACCTCGGTGCAAAGAAGGGCCTCCATTCACATCCATTTGCCACGACAGGCAGGCCTGCTTGACATGTGCTTGTGGGGAGGGACCGTGTCAGCTCAAGTTCATCTGGAAACACTGCTTCCTCATCCTGACAACATCCAGTTGGTGGCATTGCGGAAGTTGGGGAGATCCTGTTTTCCAGACCTGTAGGAGTCAAGTAAAATGTAACAAGTAGAGACACATATCTGGGAGAAAATAACCTCGTGAGGAATTCCAAAAATCCTCTCGGGCTTGGGAAGGATTTATTTAGACTTAGGGTCTTGACCACCCAGCCTGGTTATTGATGTGAACTCAGACTGCCACCAATCCTGCTGCCTACTACTGAGCTCAGACTGGGTGGAAACAGCCTATAAGGACCATGAAACTGTATCATCTCACCTCTAGACATAAATAATCCCTCCTGCGAGTTTCTGTAAAGCCTCTATTTCTTACGTGCCACATACAGTCCTATTATTGGATGCAGTTGGATTCCTCACTTTACTGGCTCTGAATGGTTTGAGTTTGAAGTCACAATCTGAGCCTGGGCCACACGGATTAGGAACAGAATTCCTTGTAGTGCATATGGTAGATTATGTCTCAGGGAGGTAAGGCCCTTATTAAGAATGGATTTTTTTTTTAAAGATTTATTTTTATTTACTTATACATAGAAGACTGGGGTGTAGGCCAGAGGTGTGGGGGGTGAGAGGATTCACTAGAGACAGAGTGGGGAGCAGAACAGGCAGATCTACTGAAATACACTACTGAGGGGAGCAGCGGGCCAGACAGGAGAGGTCTGCTGCACCATGTGGGTCAGCTCCCTAGATGGGGATCAAATGCTTGTTGCAGTGGCTGGCAATAGCTTGATGGCACTGAGACTTTAACCCCTGCACCAACAGGAGTTATTTTTAATAGATGGTAGAGGTCTCATTCATCAGTTCTCTGTTTGCCTGTGCGTTCTCCTATTATGATACAGTGTTCCTGGTAGTAAACAAACTCCTCTAGGTAGTACACAAACAAACAAACAAAAATCAAATATTTTTTAATATATTTATTGTTATGTCCATTAGAAAAAATATAAGTCTCTGCAAACTCATCATTTCATCGGTAACTTTAACACTAAAATAGTTTTTTTATTATTTAGGAATTTTAATTTCAGGTGATTAGGGGGACAGAGAGATAACAAAAGCTATAAAGGTGGTATACAAGTTGAATGATTCATTTTTTGACCAAATATTGTTCTAGAAGGGGCTGCCTGATCAAATTGCTTTCTTTCTTTCTCTCTCTTTTTAATCTAGTATCTGTAAGTGAAACTGCACAAAGAAAAAATTGCTTTAAGAAAAAAATGGTTGGGAATGGTTTAATAATGATTCTAGAAACTTTTAGAATATCAACAAAATCTTACTTCTTCTGTGGCCCAGAGCAGAGCTGCTTATCTTCCCTACAGATTTTACTTCAGCTCCCAATGTTTATATACATCAACATGTTCTCCGTGCTGTTGAGAACCACATCCACTGTTTCTTGTTGGCTCTGTGTGTATGTGTGCATGTGTACACATGTCTGTGTGCATGTGCATACACACACATGCATGCACATTAAATGATACCAAGATTGTGTGCCACGTCTAAGCTACCCATTATTTATATTAAATAATGACATGATGATATTGGTGGCCTGTAATTCTTCATTTTCTGTTAACCGTCCAGTGCAAGTAAACTGTTTTCTGATCTCTCTTAGATGGAAATCCTGTAGAATGTGGAAGCCATTAGCAGAGTAATTGCTGTCTGTTACCATGACAACCAGCCGCTGCAGTCACCTGCCCGAAGTGCTGCCAGACTGCACCAGCTCAGCTGCGCCTGTGGTGAAGACCGTGGAGGATTGTGGTAGCCTAGTGAATGGGCAGCCACAGTATGTCATGCAAGTTTCAGCCAAGGACGGGCAGCTGCTGTCAACAGTAGTACGGACTCTTGCCACCCAGAGGTAGTACCACGGTTTAAATAAATGAATCCATAATTGATCGGAGGAACTCTTTGTCAGATGGAAAATGCTAAGGGAATGTAATTAGTGCTGAAGTCTTTGTGTCAGGTGAGAAGAAGTCTTGAGAAAAAAGAAGGACTACACCAGGTTCTGTCATCACTGTTTCTCTAGCAATGGGGTACAAAGCTAAAACTCACGTTGTCAAGTTTTCCTCTTAAAGCCACACTTGCAGAGAGCCAGGCAGGGAAGGATTCCACAAGAAGCAGCGTCCACTTACTTTACATTTGTTATTTTGACATTGCTACGGTAATTACACTCTTGTTGTCTCCATGGTGCTAACAAAGGTAGCACTTTGTTAAATAGAATGAGAGACCTGATTTCAGGTGACTGAGCCAAAGTAATTGGATTTTCTGGGCAAAACTTTTCAAGTGCCATTCCTGGTGTGAATGTTTAATGGGAAGGAACCCTGTTCAGGGCTACTTTCTAAGCGAGTCTCTTCTCTGGCACATCCCCATTTGAGGGCCTCTTCTTTTGACTCCTCACATTTGAACCTGTGAGTCCCTACCCATGATCTTTCACACATATTCAACCATATGAAGTGTAATTGCTAAAAGCCCTAAAACTTGTCTTTCCTGAGTCATGAAACAAAGCAAAGCTGAAAGGTTCTGAGCAGCCCAGAGCCGCCTTAACCAAGTCAGCACTTTATTGCTGGGGGTCTCCTCTTGTGCGGTTGCTGCCCAGTGGCACATTGAAAGTTATAGGCTGTCCAGCCAATAGGTGTGCCTTGGCTCCTCCAGTCTTCTTTCAGAATGGATAAATGGGATTTTGACCTATAGATATAAAAGTATATCAACACTGCACTGATATCAGTGCTGAAACTCTGGCCTTGAAACTTCGAGTCATTCACTCATACCTCAGTCTGAGCAATCCAGACTCCTGCTCCAGTGCAGGGACAGATCTCTAGACATTACCTGTGGGAGAACTGCTGGTGGAAACATTTTCTGTTGCCCCTCATCCTGAACGTAGTGGCCATCATACATGGACTCATGTTGTAAACATGGTCCATGTCCCTTCCGTTTTCATCCTGTGCAGCCATCACAAAGGAAAGAGAAAACATTCATATATATTTTTTCCATCTATCTAAGAGCTTCTCACCAATGGTTAGGACTCAGAATATGGTGAGGCCTGCAAGTCATTGCTCCTCTGGAACTGAGAGGTACATGCATACCCATCACCCTTCAGCCATCACACACCTTGTTTGATTAGGAAGAACAAGCCGCAAAGCTAAAATACCTGAATCTGTGCTCCCGTGTGTGTTTGTGTGTGTAGCATTACTATGTTTTCTCCATCCACACAGTAATGTAAACTAAGTTTCAGAGTTTTACATGCTTATGTCTCATGAATTAAGGAGGCCAAGAATAATAAGAGGAAAAAAATCAACTCTTCCAACTTTTTTTTCCTTCCCTGAGCATGTGTGGGAAGGAAATCCTTTCCTGTTCTAATCCTCTTTAAGCCCTTACTCATTCCCAGGACATGCCTAGAAAACCTTTGGGAAGTAGTGCTGTTTCCATGGCTGTTTCCTTTTGGACCAAAGCTGGTGTCAATGAAAGGAATGGGCTGGGTCACTGTCATCTTTGGGAGATGTGGAAAGAGTCTGGCCCTGGGGTTCAACGTACAACAGTGACAGTTGTAAATCTGAGTTCACTGGAGAACAGCTGGGACAATGTGTCAATGAAGAGGAAGGTCCTCTCACAGAACACAGTATCCACTCAGAAATGGTGCCATCTTCTACTGGACACAAGGGCCATGTTGTTTTATTCCCTGTGACCTGAGTCTTTTCACAAATGAAAACAACTACCATAACCAGACACTTACTAGCTGCTGGTCCCTATTCTTAGCTTCTAATATGAACCACCTTTTCTCATCCTCACAGGTACCACATGAGAAAGGCATCATGCCTATTTCTGAGATCAGGAAACTAAGATATAGAGTGATGACATAACTTGACCAAAGTTAGCCAGCTGGTAAGCAGCAAGACTGGAGTTGGAACCCAGGCTGCTGGGCTCCAGAGCCCCCCTCATCAACCACTGCAGTATGCACCTCAGAAACTGCAGGGGTGATTTTTCCAAACTAGAAGCAGAGCTCTAGACTGAGGTCACCTCGCTAGGGCATACTCATTACTAGCCTTCACCTTAGTGTCCTTGGTGTGCTGGAGAGCATCCTAGGAAAGCTCAGAGGACCTTTCTGCCACCCAACTTTGTGGTCTGATTGAGAATTCAGTTTTGTGTGACTACCTCAGAGTTGGCTGCCAGTTATATTTCCCCCTCACATTTCCCCTTCCTGTTGAAAGGAGAAATAAAAAGAACCTCTGGATATAAAGCAGAATCCAGATCTGGTTCAAATGACACAGTTTGTCTAGAAGATGCAACTGGTATCATTTCAGAACAATTTCAGTTCTTAATGGTGAGGGGTTGTTTTTATTTCTGGATTGGTAGTTTGTCTGAAATGCATCTCTGTTCAAGACAAATAACATGTTGCTTGGTTTTACTCACTTTTGGCTCTGGACCATACCTGGCTGCTTTGATATTATCCACCCCACATTTCTGTGTGTTGGCAAATGTAGATGCCTAAGGACCCCATCACTGACCCCATGGCTGAGTGCAAGTGTAGACATAGGGTGTTTACTCTGAGCAGCTGCCACAGGGGATGGTCCAAAGGACACAGAGCCAGACGATCATCCGTGTGGGGGTGGTTTCCAGCCCAGTGACCAGCAGGTGCCCCTCTTTCTCTTGCAGCCCCTTCAATGACCGGCCAATGTGCAGGATTTGCCACGAGGGTAGCAGCCAAGAGGACTTGCTTTCTCCGTGTGAATGTACGGGGACCTTGGGGACAATTCATCGAAGCTGCCTCGAGCACTGGCTGTCATCCTCAAACACCAGCTACTGTGAACTCTGCCACTTCAGGTTTGCAGTGGAGCGCAAACCCAGGCCTTTAGTGGAGGTCAGTAATTGGGGCACATCCTGAAAACTTAGCTCTAATGAGCAAATGATGTCTGCTTTTATGCCCAGATCACAATGCCTGTGCAGCTTCACTGCATTCAGTGTGTGTGTGAGGGGGGGCGGGGGGAGAGAGAGAGAGAGAGAGTCCACTAGCTTACTCAGGAGTCAACAGTAAAAAGATGACTTCCATGAGACAGAGACAAAAGAGTAGAAGAAATCAATGTGCAGAGAAAAGAAAGTTTAGAGTCTTGATCTTCATTTTTCACCCCGTCAAAACTGAAGATCAGGTTAAGCGTCTTTCTTTTTTGCATACCATCTGCTTCCATTGATGCAACAGAGAAATGGGTAGTTGGGTTATGTATTCTGAGATAGTTATGTGGTTTAGTGGCTATAGACGCAGACTTTCTGAGTTTCAGTAGCTCTTTGATCTTGGGTAAGTTATTTCCATTAAAGTAGCAGGACATTCTCTTTCATGTTTTGCGAACCACATGATTCTTCTAGGGTCTGGTCTTTTAGTAGCTGAGAAAACTGGGGGGAAATTGTCAGATTATTTTTGCCCTCTCTTATACCCCTAGCTTCTATTAGCCCATTAAAAATTGGATATTAGCAAAGTAAACATTCGAACATATTGTGAACCAGTTGGAAGGTACAAGAAAGACATTGTGCCTATAACCCAAATCTGCTGATAATCCCTTATTTCAGCAGTTGATCTAGTGAAATTTTTGGCATTAAAAAGAGTTAAAAATTGAGAAGCCCTTCTTGGAAATGATGCAAGACATCATTTCCCTTCTTGGAAATGTGTTAGCACTGAGGCACTAAGGCTGTGCAGAGTGCTTATATACATTTCACATGGTTTTGACCTTGAAATTTTTATCAGGACCTGTAACTAAGGCCTATCTTAGCTATGACTTGATGGCCAAATGGCACACAACTTATTTGACTTGCTCTGATAGACTCTGTGCTTTTTTTTAATACTCTGGATTAAGTGACCTCATAATTTAGCTATCTTGCTGCTTGACATTGACTTTCAGAAATTCATATTTGTAGAGTGCCCATCAGAGGCTTGACCCTATGCCACATTCATTAGGATTTTTATTTTAGAATTTCTCTGCAAAGAGGGAAATAGAATTAAATAATAAAAGAGATGAAGATTTCTGAAGCCAATGGTAAAATTTAAAAAGAATTCTATTTCTCCTTTCCAGAAACTTTGGTACAAATTGATGATGCAGCTTCTCCTGGGAAGTTGGCTTCCCAGAGTAAGGAAACCCTGCTTTTAAATGGCCTACAGCCAGCATTATTGGCTAGTATCTCCCCAGTAAAAAACGTTTACTTTTGCATGGTAAAAATCCCAGTGAATATGTGCAAACTTATATCCAAGGGGTGAGGGTGTGTGCACATGTACATGTGGGGAACACATTACTTTTTCTCTAATAACACACCCAGTGAGTCCTTTCCATCTCACAGAGGTTCATTCACAGTTTCCTATGTCAGCTACAGACAGACACTCGAATTTTAGGAAACTGTCATTAAATGAGGAAACAAGGCAAATGACCTTGAGAATGTGTGAGGTGCTCTGCAAGATTTAGGGCCTCACCTACAAAAACTTCCCCCAAACGGTCACCAGTGGTGAAATTTTCATTGAACAAATGGAATGTGACATTTTTCAGAGTTAATGATGATTGAACAAGTTGAGAGTGAAAGGCAAAAACTTTGCAAGCTGGAAGGCGGGGGCGGGGGGGTGGGGGCGCTCGTTTGATCATCCCATGGCGTAGTGAACTTGCTGTTTGACCACAAGCAATAAAAAGAAGTTGTCTTTGGTTTCTCAGCTGAAGGACAAATAAGAACAGGTGCAGGCAGATTTTTAAACAGATGACATTACTAATTGATTTTTCCCCTCTTACCAAAGGGAAGTTTTATTCATCGAAAGCATTGCATTTCAATATTTTTAACTCAGGTAAACATGAATCTCTTTGGTAAGTCAGCAAAACATTCCTACTGGGTTAAGTGTTAGAAGTATTGTTACTTTATTTCTCATTTTAAGTCTTTTAATTGTTTTAATCACTTTTATTTACCAGTTGGATCTGCCTTCTCATTAAAGCAAGAAATTCTATAACATGTAATTTCAAAATCGATGTGATAATAACAGCCCCTGTTTCCAGAGGAAGCAGTTGAAAAGTCATTTATAAATTTTATTTGTCAGCATCCAGGCATTAACATTGGTTGAAATTGCTTTAATACCTCAGACTCTCACTCTACAGTAAATTCTCTCTATCCTTCATTTAACATAACTTTGCTTCCTCCTTAACACCACCATTTTTGTGGGGGTTTTTTTTTGTTTTTTTAATTAATTTTTAAATTTTTTACATCATTGTTTATTTTTAAACAATGTTTGCTTCCCCCCACCCCCTCAGGTGTAGTCCCCATAGAGTTTCCTTTACCAATGCACCCGTGCACCATCACCTCAGTCCCCTGTGCTCCTCCCTCCCTCCCTCTGATCCCTCTCCCTCCTCCTCCCCTGCAGTATTATGCTCAGTGAAATAAGCCAGAAGGAAAAAGAAAAATATTGCATGGCTTCACTTATAGCAAGAACAGAGGGGAACCAAATAAGACAGTATAAAAAAATAATAACAGTACAAAACACAACAAAGCAAAAACAGACAATTACAAAACACCACCATTTTAAAGACACTTCTCTCATCACTTCCATTCCTGCACTGTCTGCTGCCAGCAGTTGGATGTTCTTTTTTAACAGGTCAGGAACTCGAATTCATGTCTATACATTAACTATTCCACCTTTGCTAAGTCTTTACTTATCTTCCCTGCAAAAGGGCAAGTTTCTACTCATAATGGTCAAATCAATGCCCTCTTTTTATTTGCACCTGCAAGTAAAACTTTATCACCGGTTGCTGTGGGTCATTTTCTCTGAACTGCAGTATGAAGGATAAGATAGAGAAACTCCATGATATCTTTGGTTTCTGTAAGACTTGAGTGCTTATGTACAACTAGATTCTACACTTAAAATTATTACATTGTGTGATATGCAATTTATGCCTTAATAAGTTTTGTGTGTGTGTACACGAAAGTGTGCATGACTACACGTAACTACTTACCTATCTATCTGTCTGACCACACTAATCTTTTAGCCTCTTTTGGTAAGTTCATTGCCAATTTTATACCCTAAATATTTTCTTTTGTCAGTATTTCTAAGCCAGTATAACAAGAGCTAGTTTCAACCCAAGAGAGCAACATTGTGATCATCTAGTGTATTCATATATTTGTGAATTTCCTCATAGTCCAGCTCATATAAATCTTATAAGGTCTGTGTCCAATCATGCAAAACTTGAAAGGATTTAAATTATACATGGCAGAAAGGAAAAACAGATAGAACACATCCTTTTATAGCTCTACAGCTAGCACTGCTCCTTATGAAGGCTACATTTTTTTGTTGTTGATTATGGAAAATGTATACCCAGTGGCAATTTGTCAGGTGAATTAGCCCCCAAAATAATGACCTGGTAGAATGCAGTAAATAGACATCCACGACACATAAAGGGATTCACCGAATGACCAGTCTGGGTGGTTTTATGGTCTCCTTTGTGCTCATTTTTAGTTTTCCTCATTTCTCTCTGTAAGTTGAACTTTGATACCATTCTTTTATAACAAAGGAAACAATAAAAATACCATGATTTGTTCCCCAAAATGTGTGCCTTGACTCCAACCTATTGCCATGATTGCATATCTGATTGAGCAGTTTGCCAAGGAAGCCCATCAATGTGCAAATAGCGTGCTTGCAACATCAGTTTCTAGTGATGGGAGTATCTGAACTAGGCTTTCCTAAGATATGTATCAGTAACACCCACCTTGCCTGGGAAACTCAGGAAGTAATAGATCAGCTCAACAATACCATGACTAAAACAGAACAGCCAGAAAGGGTTGAAATCTGGGGGAGGGAAATCCTGGGATCTGATCTTCCTCTGATCAAGGAGACATGATGATTTTTTCACAGAAGTGATTAGGTTTCTGGATTCTTATTTCCTTTACACAGGCCCAGCTGATTGATAAGAATTTTATGAACAATTTAAAAGCTGTTCCCTGTGAGTCAGAGGTTTAACTAAATTGAAACTGAGAGTGTTTTCACACATATCAGTTACCCAGAATAATGGGATGTAAAGCTAGGGAAGTGAGGATTAGGGCTTTTTTCAAACTTTTTATTTGTAATTTTTTTTAAGTCACTGGAGGAAAATGGTTTTAAAGTGTGCCCTGGATTCAGTGTGATTCCAGCTGTACCTCAGGGAGCAGAATTGAATTGCCGTGGAGAAACTACTTTGTACTTTGGCACTTGCTATTTGACAGATTTAAGACTTGACTTAAATCCTAAGATGGATATATCAATTAGGTAGGGACACTGATCAACTCTGACCATAGTGGGTTTTGTTTTGATGTTTAATATATTCATTTAAGTAAAACGGTAAGCTTTTGGCTTCAAAATATTCATTTTCATCAACAACTCTTGTAACATTGTGGTAATTAGGGAATGACGCCTTAGGGATATGGACTCAGTGGAGGATCTTTGGAGGCATGAGGACCACCTACTCCATTCCGCAAAGGAACGTGGACAAGCTCCCCTCTTCATTCCAACTCGTGAGCTGCCCAGCTAGAAAGGTGGCTAGTCCAGAATCACCACATGTGACAGGCAATCAAGAAACATCTGCTCAATAAATAAATGGGTGAATGCAGAACCTCTTCTTCCCCATTTGCAAGCCATATGTTGTATTTTGGGGTTATAGTTGTAAATCAAAAAACTGACCCTTTGCCCTTACGGTCCTAGACACGGATGAGGCTGACAATACAAATTAGCAACACTACTTTGGGCCACACAGCAAATACAATGATTGTGACAAATCCTGACTCCTACACAGTCATCAGTCCTCTGTCAAGTTTCAAAGAATGGCAGGTGACTGGTACCATCAGGTAAAAAGGTGTGAGTGTGCTTCAGGGCTT